AAAAGGGAAGTCGTGGCCTAATGGTTAGAGAGTCGGACTTGTAACCCAAAGGTTGCGAGTTTGAGTCTCCGGTCTGGCAGGAACTGTAGGTGGGGGGAGTGAATGTACAGTAGGGCTGGGTATCGATTTAGATGTTCCAATTCGATTCGATTTTCAAGCTCTCAATTCGATTCGATTTTCGATTCGATATTCGATTCGATTTTTGATTTAAATTCTCGATTCGATTAGACTATATGAATGAATATAGATTTAATACAAATCCTATATTTATAAAAAATGAACAGTGAACATAAGATCACAAATGGGGATGGGTTAAATGCAGAGCACTAATTCCTAGTATGGGTAACCATACTTGGCGACATGTCACGTCACTTTCACTTTTTCACTTAAAATAAGCAAATGCATCACATCGATTACTGAATTTAACACAAAAGGTCAGATGTTCTTGCTTCCACTGAAGCACAAGATGCTCTGTGATCTCAAATCATGCTGGAAAACATGATCATCTGGTCTTACACAAACTTATGCAGCTCAATTGGTGATGACATTAGGAAAAACGGGAATATAATACTAAGAGATATTAAAAAAAAATAAAAAATCTAAATTTTTAGCAATTTGCTGTATATGGATTGCCTGCAAAATGTTTTCTGCTCAAGAGAATGTGAGAGATCAAGAGGAAAAGCAAAGAAGAGCTAGAAAGCATTACACCCAGGTCAGTGTTCAGAGCCTACTGTGTTACACAGCCATAAATGTCCTTCAAGAGTTTATATTTCATACAATCCTTGAGTGAGATACAAGTAAACATGTTTAGTTTACTGTCCATCATGGAGGACTCAAGCATGAGACCCAACTCAGGCTCTAAACATCTCTCTGGACAATTTAATCAATAATTCATAATAAAGTAGAAGTGAATAAAATAAAGGTGGAGATGGGGGTGGTGGACACATACCGGAAGTGCTGTCACAGGAGCGAGGTGAGCGGCCCTTTAAATATTAAATACTGTGTTGTGATTGACAGGATTAAATGACTCGCTCCTCCTGAACTTCCTTTAGAAGCCTATTTTGCCAACAACGAGGTTTCTTTGCAGTTTGCACCATACTCCACAAAAAGTATAAGCAGCACACAGTATGTAATTAACATAATACTCTGCACTTGAGAAAACTAGAACCATCCCACTAAAAATCTGTATAAAATGAATGCACAGCCATTATATAAGAGAAAATCATTGCCAAAAACACCCTGTATCATGGAGGAAACAAATGGACTTGGATCGTGTGAAAACATAAAGGATAATTGCACAATTTTCATCTACTTAGAGAGCAAAAAAAAAAAGTAACTGAAATCATGTACCTGCATTTAAACTGTCTATAATCACTTCCTGATGCTTATTAGTAGCTCAGAACATCATTATTCCATCAGCAAGCCCACACGCCACCACAGACACTACAGTCAGGAGTCTGACAGGCAGCATGAGCTCTGACAGAACATACTGTCTCTGCTCTGAAATACATCTCAGCTGCCATATGGTGGGATGTGCAAGACCAAAAGCCAAAACCACATAAAAATAGCCCTTTAAGTAAACTCTATTAAATATTCTTAATCGACCATGAAGCAAAAAGCCACAATAACCATGAAAAGGACATCTGAAGTACACATATTTTCAGTACATGCTTGAGCAATCATTACTGGACTGAGAAATTGAATTTAGTCAAGCAGTCACGAGGAAAGCTTTTATGAACACACACACACACACACACAGTGGTATTTTCACATGTACATAACTATCACAAACAGACAACAAACAAGCAATAAGATAAATGTGATGAATTAAATTTCCTTCAACAAACACGATGTGTTCTGACCTTAAAAAAGGGCGATTCAAGAATGACCTTCAGAGAGTCAATAGGCTGAAAAGGATTTTCTGCACTAAGCAAACACTTATCTTGGTTCTCCAGGGACAGATGGTCAATGAACAGAATGCATTTGATTACACACTGTAGTTCATTGATCTATGCGTTTCATTTTATACACGATGCAATATGATCTAAATAGGGACATTGTCTAAAGTGATCATAAGCTCAAAATCCTACACTAGTGAAAAATACTGTAATATGTATATACATATTTTTGTGTGTGTGGCATTGCTGCATCAACTGCTAATTTGGCCTTATTAATGATCCCATAAATGAGCTCTTAGGCTGTTAAATGATTGGTTCACCCCAAAAAATGACAATTGCCATTTACTCACCCTCATGTTGTTACAAATTAAAACACATACTCAGGCAAAACACAGCAACTCACTGACTTAATGATCCATTCGCAGCAGTTAACAGCTAAATGAAGAGGAAGATTATCTGTGAATGACTTGATTTTGAAACAAATTTCATGAAAACAAATGGATTTATTGTCTCAAAAAGCCAAGGTTGCAGAATGCTAGGGGCTGTCAAACAATTAATCGTGATTAATCGCATCCAAAATAAAAGTTTGTGCTTACATACAGTAATATATGTGTGTGTGCTGTATGTATTTATTATGTATATATCTAAATATACACACATGCATGTATATATTACATGTATATATCTAAGAAAAATATATTTATATATAAAATATAAATTATATATAAATATAAATACATACATATAAATATTTTTAATATATATACACATTTATGTGTGTGTATTTAAATATACATATCAAATATACTCAGTACACACAAATATATGTACACACAAATAAATAAAAAATAAAAAAAAAGTGATTTGAGCACTTTATTTTAATACTTTCTCTTAGTGCCAATAGCCCAGCAATCTCACAAGAAATCGCTTCTGAACTTCATAGATGCAGCACCACAGCCTCAGAGTTAAGATACAACATAAAACATGTTTATGACTCTTTCTCTTTCTCTCTTTCACGCACTCTCACTCACACACACAGAGCTGCCAAGTAACAGGACATGTCATTGCATAATCCCTCCTGTAAATCCCTGTTCTACTTTTCATCTATTTCATTTAAGCAAAGCTTGAAAAAGCCTGAATAAAATCAATTTATCTGCTAACTAAAGCACACATAGTACAACTGACCTCCAAAAATGATTCAATGCAATTAATCTACTAATAAAACAAATGTCCTCTAAAAACAGCCTAAAATATCCTAATTATTTGGTTTTCCCATTCATCTCTCATATAGCTCCAGTTTGAAACACATTTGAGCATGTGAATCTGAGCGTCACATACATTAAGCAACATCCTGCGGCCATGTTATACAATGCAGGAAGCCCAATTCTAAAATGGCCAACCACATTTAAACAGTTGGAGTGAAATAATTAATTCACTTGTGTCCCTAAAAGGGACAGACCCTTTTACCCTGTCTATACATCTGTGTTTAACTCTCTCCAGGGCAGTTCAGTACTGGCTGTGCATCAGAGTATATGAGTTATAATAATAGCACTGCATAGCCCAGGGGACATCATGCGTCATCGGTATAGAAGCACTGGCATGTTACATCTACTCTTGTTGCAAGTTGCAAAATTGTGTTTGTAT